AGTCACAGTACTACTTTGGTAGTGTTATTAGTCATTGTACTACTTGGGTAGTGTTGTTAGTCATTGTACTACTCGGGTAGTGTTACTAGTCACAGTACTACTTTGGTAGTGTTATTAGTCATTGTACTACTTGGGCAGTGTTGTTAGTCATTGTACTACTCGGGTAGTGTTACTAGTCACAGTACTACTTGGGTAGTGTTATTAATCATAGTACTACTTGGGTAGTGTTACTAGTCACAGTACTACTCAGGTAGTCAGAACTACTATTGCCGTACGTACCTTGGCACTAAGTACTAGTCACAGTACTCAGGTAGTCAGAACATCTAGTGCCGTACGTACCTTGGCACTAAGAACTACACAGTACTATTCAGGTAATGTAACTAGTCACACTACTAGTAACACTACCCACTAGCACGTCAGAACCACTAGTGCCGTACGTACCTTGGCACTAAGTACTAGTCACAGTACTCAGGTTGTCAGAACTACTAGTGCCGTACGTACCTTGGCACTAAGTACTAGTCACAGTACTCAGGTAGTCAGAACATCTAGTGCCGTACGTACCTTGGCACTAAGAACCACTAGTTCCGTGCTTACCTTGGCACTAAGAACTATGTGTGCGGCGGTAGCAAGGGGCAAGTGGTGTACCGCCCTCACGATGGCCTCAGGCTCGGCGTTAGCGACGCTGTGCAAGTTAGTGTAGCCTGCAGCGTACAGCAGGCGCGCCCGACCCTGTTAGTTTATAATTAATTTAAAATACGTTTAATGAATTTAATATATGCTTACTGAATTTAAAATAAGTTCAATTAATTTAAAATACTTTAATGAATTTAAAATACATTTAATAAATTTGAAATGCGTTTAATGAATTTGAAATACGTTTAATGGATTTAAAATATGTTTTAAGAATTTAAAATACGTTTATTGAATTTAAAATATGTTTAATGAATTTGAAATACATTTAATGAATTTAAAATACGTTCAATGAATTTAAAATACGTTCAATTAATTTAAAATATGTTATATATCATTGCAGATTATAATAGTTCTGCAAAAATTATTACATATTTAAATTTAAAATACGTTTATAGAATTTAAAATACGTTTATTGAATTTTAAATACGACAAATTAGGTAAAATTTTTTATAAATTTATTGATCCAACAGTTATATGCAGCAGGTATTAGTTATATCGAACGATACAACAGTTAAATGCAGCAGGTATTAGTTATATCGATCGATACAACAGTTATATGCAGCAGGTATTAGTTATATCGATCGATACAACAGTTATGAATTTAAAATACGTTTATTGAATTTAAAATATGTTTAATGAATTTAAAATACGTTTAATGAATTTAAAATACGTTTCATAAATTTAAAATACGTTTAATGAATTTGAAATACGTTTAGTGAATTTAAAATACGTTTAATGAATTTAAAATATGTTTAATTAATTTAAAATACGTTTATTGAATTTAAAATATGTTTAATGAATTTAAAATACGTTATATATCATTGCAGATTATAATAGTTCTGCAAAAATTATTACATATTTAAATTTAAAATACGTTTATTGAATTTTAAATACGACAAATTAGGTAAAATTTTTTTATAAATTTATTGATCCAACAGTTAAATGCAGCAGGTATTAGTATATTTATCGATACAACAGTTAAATGCTGCAGGTATTAGTTATATCGATTAATACAACAGTTAAATACTGCAGGTATTATTCAAATTGTACGATACAACAGTTAAATGCTGCAGGTCTTATTTATATCTAACGATACCTACAACAGTTAACTGCTGCAGGTATTATTCACCTTGAACGATACAACATTGATGACGGATTGTTGACTGGTTTGATCGCATTTCGGTGATTGGTTAGTGCCTGGGACGTCACTGAGATCAGTGATGTCACAGGCGAAGAACGAACTACATCCGCAAAAATGGGCTTCTGATGGATCAACCATATACTACTTCAACCATGGGGTCATCGGTCTCGTATTTACCGTAAGTTAGTCTCGTTGGGGTTCGGCAGTCCGTGGTCGTAATCAAGCTAACGACCAAGTGCAAATTGTCCGTTGTGAGTGTGGTTAGGTTGTGTATGTTGTTAGGTGTACACGAGTGGAGGTGGTTGTGTTTCGAATGAATCGTATGAATACAGCATAGGGAATATGAGTGAATTGTGAGAAATTCGAGTGTTTATTTTGGATTATTTTAAGGAAAGTAGCAAGACGTCTCACGCATGAGACTACAGTTTAGGGTAAGTTTAAAGACCAACGCTCCGGTTGCCGGTATATCAGCCGGTTGGTCATTAAGGCCCGTTTACACTAGTGGCAACGACATGCGCTTTGAGTCGTTTGCTGCAGTGCCTCNTCCAAAATTCGGTAGTGTGATGATCAGTCAATTGGCATTTCGTCATCCTCAGTGAGAGTGAGGCCGCAGACGGAGAAAAACTCAGACGTTCTTAGTCTGTAGGACTGGGATTGTAAAAATTGACATTCGCAAGAGGTGACGACAAAGATTTGAAAGTGGAGTGCCGTGAGGCTCGGTGCTGGCCCGCAACTCTTCCTCATTCACATCGCCGACATTGCATCGAAAAATAAATTAGCACATGCATCTACATGCAGACGATATAAGAGTGCTCATGAGGATCAAAACGACCTGACATGTGAGAGGTTACACCATTACTTTGGCATAGGACGGCTCACAAATAAAGGAGAAGAAACTTGTTCGTCATCTCGGAGTGTTAACGAGTGCTGAAGCTACGTTGGTTGCCTGCATTACGGCAATAGTTGCGAATGCGCTCAAGGCAGAAAACAGATGGCTTGGATCTGGCAAAAATTTCGAACAAAATAAACGGTGCCAATGATTACACTCTTCAGGGCCCTCTTGCTCCTCATTCTGGAGTACTGCTGCCAGCTTTAGGCGCCACTCAAGGCCGGTGCAGTGCGATAATTGGAGCAGTCAAACGAGCCTTCACGCCTAGGATCAGCGGGATGAGGAACCTGAACTACTGGGACATATTCATGCACCAGGGATTGTACTAACTGGGAAGGAGAAGGGAGAGCTGGACGACGAAAGCGGCGCATCTGCGTGGCCATGGAAGAGGACGTCCTAAACTTGACATAAAAGTCAGTTATAGTCGCGTCTTGTCGGTCAGCGTCAGGCTGTGTTGTGGGATGTTCCTTGGTTGTATTGCTTTCTTTACTATTTTTTCCTTGGTTTTGTTTTGAATTGTGTCGTTCTGTTGTTGTAGCTTTTTTTCTGCATTTGGATTGTTTGTTGGAAGTGTACGGTGATCCTCGCAGCAATTGAGTGATTTCTTGTATGTTTTTTGTGCATTGGGTGCAAGTGCGGTCTAAAGCAGCGCACTCGGAGCATGATGATGTGGTTTTGGTGCTTCAGTAAATTAGGTGATCTTCAAATTTGTAGCAGATGGGTATTCTTGTTCGAATGTGATTATGATGGGGCGATTTTTGTGTTATACAGGTAGAATCGGCAAATGAGTATTCGTTGTGTTATTACTGTATCTGTGATTATTTTTTTACGTGTGTGTAGTGTTTTATATAATGATGTCAGAAATGTGTAACCAATTTTGCTTAATGAAGATTTCGTGTTAGATTTCGGCAGTGATTTAATAAAAAGCACTAACGGTTGGGAAAGAGCTCTAGTCCGAAAGGCTTAAGAAGAATTCGGGGCACTAAAGAATAGGATCACAGAAGTTTTTATAGAGCACTACATGCACGAATATAGCTGTTGCATTCACAGAACTATCATCCAGGGATTAGATATTATTTATACCAACCATTCAAAAGTCAAATAATACAGCGTCATAGAACACCAACTGAACATGCTGTACGTTGTAGCTTCACCACTATTAAAGTATTAATGTCACTTATTGGCTTACAGGGTTTGCTTAGTTCACCACTATTGTTCCGCATTACCGTTTATATCCAACGATACACCTGTAAGATTCGTATGGCCTTGCTTTTGCCTTAGGATTAAATCAGTAAAACATTTGGCATAAACTTGATGTTTACTAACATTAAATTATTTTTATTCCGGTCGTCTCAATTACAATTCAGAGCAATGAAGTTGAACTCAAATTTTGGGAAATTCTCATAACGATCTTTATGATAACAATCAAACACAACACGTGTAGCTCCTCTTTCTGCAAACTTAGCTACACAAAAGATTTTAGAAAAATTTGAAATCAAGCACCGAAAGTCAACTTTCCTCTTTATCTACAAACAAAACTAAGCATCACTGTCAAGGGCCTAACTCCACCTATATAGGTGGGTAGAAACCACTTGGCCCGCAGTAATGCAAAAAAAAAAAAACGAAAACAATACCCCGACTCATGCTACTTTTCTCGTATTGTTACTAAACTGAGACTTTAAATTTCACCAAAACGGAGAAATTTACTTTCAAAAAGTCTCATCACGAAAACTTTGTACAGAATTAAAAAGGACTAAAAACTTGGAAAAAGGTTCAATAGAAAAATTAAGAAGTACAAAAAATATTTAGCGGATAAGTTTAGATATTCCAGTGTCACAAAAATAGTTAACGGGAAAATTTAAATTCTGATGGTGACATGTATATAATATTAGAGTTAAAGACGCATCTTGAACGTTACATAAATTCTAATGTCAGAATCTCATTTATAAATATCTGAACTGTAGATTAATATACGGGATATTACTTACAAAACTAAAAAAATATTTTAAACGGCTTTTCCGACGTCTTACCATATAAAACAAAAGGAAACAAAACCTTTACAACCCGTGAGAACAATACAACCCCCAAGTTCTTACCTGGCAGAAATGATGGACGCATGAAGCAAACGCAGAAGCAGCAGAAAGAGTGCGCTGCAAAAGTCCTCTTGGCACCTCAAACATATCGGAAACTTTCCACACATCTTCTCCGGACAGCAGACAATGAAGAATAATAGCGGCATTAAACCTTTTGACGACAAAACTCTTAAGCGCTGCAGTCATGCCCATGGCGACCTTAGAGGCTATAGCTTCGCTGACACCGATGAGTTCAGCAGTTTTGATCTCGTCGCGCTTGAGGCTGCAGAAAGCTTTATAGAAAGCCTGAGGTACCAACGGCAGGTCGTTAGCTGCACCGTAGGGCGTCACCAGGTACAGCAGGTGCAGGCGACTGTGCACAGCTAAACTGTCCCGCGCCAGCATCAGGTCTTCGTACAGACGGCTAGCTATGCTTAGTTCAACGCAACCTGAGGATAAATCAATTTTCCTGTATTTAAATTTGTATACGAATTAAGGGCACTGAATTAAAATATTGTTGAATTGTTCGAGATTCTCAAGAAATTTGTACAACGAACGACATTAGTTGGGGAATTAATGAAAATTAATAGGGTGGGAAATAAGGCAGAAGATCAATTAAACTTTGCTTATCAACAATGTTTGAACACCCTAAAAGAAAATCAGATTTAAAAACAAATACAATCATCGAAGCCCAATCCTACTTTGATCAAGGGTCATTATAACATGATTTCATCAAAACAGTGGCTGAAACTACAAAACTACAAAAAGAAAGCGCACAACCAATTTCAGATTGATATAAGGACTGACATTTCAATAGAAATTTGAACGCTTGTGTGCATATTAACATTTTTTTACTTCATTCAAGCAGTAGATGTTCGTAACAAAACTCCTTCTTTGACAAATATACATTAGCTTCTATACTCAAACAATAACAGGGACAATCAAGACTTACTCTCCACATTCAAGCACTTCAATTGGCTGCCAAGAATTACCTTTGATAGCAGCTCTGCCAAGGCGGCTAACCGCAAGCGTATGGTGAGGCAGCAACGGCGTTCGGACGCGCGAGTTGGGATCGCTGAGATCTTCAAGACAGCACTCCATTTGTGCTGAATAGCGAGAGCAGCCGCTGGATGAACTCATGTGCAGTTCCTGAGACCCATCGTCAGCATGCAGCGCCGCTGAGCTAACGGCCCCACATGAGACGGGGGAGGCGACGCTTGAGTCTTTGATGCGCAACATCCCGAAGGCGCGAAGTTTTTCTAGCACGTCTAGCACCTGCAGGGTTACTAGTTATTTATAGTTATTTATTTATTTAGTTACTACAACTAATAACATTAAAAGGAACAATATATGGCAGAAGATTTGATGCGAGTCTCTGATGCGCAACATCCCGAAGGCGCGAAGTTTTTCAAGCACGTCCAGCACCTGCAGGGTTACTAGTTATTTATACTACTAGTTACTACTACTAAAAAAAATTAAGCGGGAACAAAATATATCAGAAGATTAATTAAACTTCACTGATCAAAAACATTTGAACAGCCTAAAAGAAAATAAGATTAAAAACTTATGGAATATGCATCGCAACCCAATCCTACTTTGCTGACGATTCACTCGACGGGACCATGCACGACCGAGTAGGAAATAACACTTACTTGGGCTATATTAATATTCTTATTTGAAATTAATTGTTATTTTTTTCGAAACGGTGCATATGTAATAATTCATTTGGTATTGCTTTCCAAGACACAGTGGGTGGAAGACTCGAAAATAAGAACTCCAACGGAGCATAATGAATCAACATAATAGGCCTTGATTTCCGTCGGACAAATGTTTGAAAAACATTTTTCTTGGATTCCTAAAGACATTAACTTTAATCCAAATACTCAGTTTTGATGTTTAACTTTTGGTGAGATTCAAACAAATAAAATTACAAAAAAAACAATACCCGAAAAAATATATAGGTTAACAATAATTCGTTAATGAGCCACAAACAATACTCGAAAGATTACATAGGTTAACAAAATAATTGGTTAATGTCTTACCATTGCGCGGAGATTGACGTGTTAATGTCTTACCATTGGGTGGGGATTGATGTGTTAATGTCTTACCATTGCGTGGAGATTGACGTGTTAATGTCTTACCATTGCGTGGAGATTGACGTGTTAATGTCTTACCATTGCGCGGAGATTGACGTGACGCTGGTCAGCCTGGAGAGCCATGAGCGAGCACTGCACCAGACTCAGGACCTCAGCCAAGTTCTTCACCAGTCCCAGACCAATGGAAGAGAAGACCAGGTCTCGCAGTCCACAGCATGACGTCAGGTTAACTTCCACGCTGCTGCTCCCACTACAGCCTGAGCATTGCGACTAGGAGTTAACGGATGTCTTAATCTCGAAATTTATCTCAGCTTAATCTCGATAATTTATTTCAGCTTAATCTCGATAATTTATTTCAGCTTAATCTCAAAATTTATCACTCTAAAACTTAATCTCTCAGCGAGAGACGATGAACACAATCAATTTCTGTTCTCACTTCTGACAACGAACGTGACAACAATTCCAAACATGCCTTGCCTAACAGTTCTCAAGTTTTAATATGAATATAAAATATTTTTCATCATGGCTCGGATATCAAGATATTTGAAATATGCGAGTTCAGATTCGCAACACACACATTATATAATTCAAGAAAAAATGCATCACAATAACTCTTCGTAAAATAAATACAGAAAAAAACATTTTCAACACGAGACTTGAGTGAAAGATTAGTTGAACGAAGGTCATGATAAAAAATAGATTTTATGAACCTGCATCAAACAAGATGTCGACATTCTCACAATGGGGACAAGTCGTTAATATTTTTATTTACCTGTCATGTTCACCGTTCTGTCTGCCGCCGCTGTCGTCACACAGCACGAGGAACTTCGCTCACCAACCGTTGACGTTTGGCTGATGTTTTGGCTGGATTTTCCAGAACTGTTAACATATTTGCTCACAGCTCCAGAAGATGATTTCCTTACAGCATCGTCCGACATGACGACATCGTCAGCCTTGACAGCGTTATCAGCCTTGACTGCATTCTCAGCTTTGGCCGCATTATCAGCCTTGACAGCGTTATCAGCCTTGACAGCCCGAATGTTCTTGTCATGGCCAGACCTCTTGGCAACAGACTGAAGGATGTTGCGTTATCAGCCTTGACAGCCCGAATGTTCTTGTCATGGCCAGACCTCTTGGCAACAGACTGAAGGATGTTGCTGAGGACTTTAGGAGGGCATGCCGTGGCGTGACTGTAGGGCGTAGTGCAGGCGTCGGCAGCGTCGCAGAGGCGGGAGAAGCACGTCTCGACTGGACCGCGCACCAGGTCTGGGATCTGAACAAACAAAGCCTTGCTCAACAAACTTGAACACAATACGATATATTACGCAATATATTTTTTTAAGCGTTATAATAAATGTAAAAAGATTAATATGGTAAAAGTAAATACAACCGTACAAAAACTCAACGGAAAAATGCACAACAACCTAGAACGCAATACGAAAAATTACGCAATATATTTTTTAATGCGTTATAATAAATTTTAAAAAATAAATACGGTAAAAGTAAATACAACCGTACAAAAACTAACGAAAAAAATGCACAGTAAGAAAATATTTCGCCGTGTACCAGGTCTGGGATCTGAACAAACAAGACTCGATCAAGAATCTCGAACGCAATACGATAATAAGAATTAGGCAGCAAAAACAGCATGTATAATTTTTTGATTTCTTGAAACAATTCTAGTTCCCCCATACCCAAGTTCGAACACAATGAAAAAATTCTTAATAGGCAAGTAAGTCAACGTGGATAATTTTTTTTGTTCTTCAAAAGTATTAAAGAATGGCTCTCAAGAAGCATTGATTTGAATCCTCTCGACTTTTCGGTGTGGGCTATTTTAGAGAGTAGGGTCTGCAGAACACCTCAAGATTCTTTGGATAGTTTGAAGTCTAAATTGACACGAGAATGGGACTTGAACCCTCAAGAAATGCTGCGTGTCTCCTGTGAAGCTTTCCGCGTAGATTGGAGGCCGTCATTAAAAATAAGGGTGGTCATATTGAATAAATATGTCGGAGAATTGTTTAGGTAACTCTTGGCTACTAGCTCATCCAATAAAAAAAACAATGCAGCTCTTTGTTTCATTGAGAAATAACAAAAAAACATGCGTTGCCATAAATATGACGGATCCTGTAGAACTAAGTGACCGAGAACTAGAACTAAGTGACCTAGAACGAACTAGTTCGTTGCAGTACGTCGTAGGCAAGTGCAGTATCAGTAGCCGACAAAATATATGTCATGAGAAACAAGTAATTAATTTTAGCCGAGTTGTAATAGGCAAGGCAAAATCTCACAGTTGGACGAAATCCTTTATTATTTAATGCTTTACTTGAAATCATCATTTAAGGATGTTAATAATTTGATAATATATTGCCGAGACACAGTTTAGTTATTCGTAACCATTTCAACAACACGTCACTGACAACACTCAGGGCCTGACTACGACAACAACACGTCACTGATGACACTAATAAACTAACCATGGCCACGTCCTTCTGCTGTATGACGAGGAAACTCTCGCCCTCGCTGTCGAGCCCCGCGCGGCCGGCCCGCCCCACCATCTGCATGTAGCGACTGCGCGTCAACCTCTCGCGTCCAGTGTACGGCGACCTCAGGATAACCTGCTCGATCGGAACCAGTGCCCATACTTAGTATAGTATATACTAAGTAGTATACCCAATAGCCAATAAGTATAGGCCTAGGGACCTATACTTTCAAAAAAAAGTTAAGAGATCATAAGTTCATCAGCCAATAAGTATAGGCCTAAGGGCCTATACTTTCAGAAAAAGTTAAGAGATCGTAAGTTCATCAGCCTATAAGTATAGGCCTAGGGGCCTTTACTTTCAAAAAAAGTTAAGAAATCGTAAGTTCACCAGCCTATAAGTATAGGCCTAGGGGCCTATACTTTCAGAAAAAGTTAAGAAATCGCAAGTTCATCAGCCAATAAGTATAGGCCTAGGGGCCTATACTTAAAAAAAAAGTTCAAAAAAAAAAGAGATCGTATGTTCATCAGCCAATCATTGACGGACGGCCTTTCAAGCAAACCCCAACAATCATAGACAAGAAAACAGAGTGTAAGTACTTACGTTCTCGTAGCGAATTTTTAAAGTATGGCCCCAAGCGTCAACGAATTCAATTTACACCCGAAATTTGTCGGTATTTGCCCTTCGAAATAATTTAATTTAGCCTGCAACAACAACTTTTTCTCGAGATCTTACTCTAATGGCACAAAACCACCACATGCACATTCTAATCTCTAACTTTTTCGCTGCTTTTCTCCAATCTTCTTGCGGAACTGATATCATGTTTGAATTACAGGTGTGAGCTACATCTTAAAGATCATCAAGTCAGGAAATTAAAGCAGACTCTCGCACAAGTTGTGTTGGGGAATTTCGAGCCTGGTTTTTCTTCATGAGACGCCACTCTCCTTTAAGCGTCTACTTTAACTCGGCCTAACGATATGGCATCTCGTCGGGATTCCAGTTTACCGCGATAACGGGATCTTGTTACTTTAGCCACAGACGACAATTGTGGCAGCATTCACTTAAGGAAGTTGGCAGTATTAAATAAGAGAATTTATTATCCTCTATGATCTCATTAAAGATAGATGATAAATTTTCGTTCTACTCCGAGCTGTAGTCATTCTATACATCCTCCATAATATTCAGATTGTTTAAGAGCAAATTTACGTAATCAGATGCATGCCCTAGCATACAGGAAGATTTGAGACCATAGCAAGACGACGTGTCTTTACAGTTACTTGTCCTATATTTGATTAAAAAAAACGTATCCATGTATACAATAACAGGCATATAAAGTTAAACCGTCGTGTTCAGCAGTAAAAAGCTCGAGACTGAAAAAAATAATCCATACAAAAATGATAATTCTACCAAACCACTCAACAAATGAAACGATAAAATGAAATACTGATATACAAAACTAATAAACTATTTAAATACAAAACTAATAAACTATTTAAATACAAAACTAATAAACTACCGTACTGAAATACAAAACTAATGAACCGTTATAAAAATATAACTCAGTACTCACTGCAGTGAGTGGCAGAGAACGCATTTTCTCGTCGACGAAAACGTGATGTCACGGACGGACAGACAGACAGACGGACGGACGGACGGACGGACGAACGGAAGGACGGACGGACGGACATGGCGAGCACAATAGTGCATTTTTTCCATAAATGAGAAAATGAGCTAAAAACGTAATTATTAAGCAGCAATTGATTATGAAGCAATGTAAGCAACTGACCCGCCGTGCTGGCAGGTTGACCCCGGCAGCGAGCGTTGAGGTGCACGTGATGACGCACAGCGTGCCTGAGAGGTAGCCTTCCTCCACCAGCTTACGCTCTCCCTCTGTCAGACCTGAGGGGACGTGAGGGCATGAGGGGACGTGAGGGCATGAGGGGACGTGAGGGCATGAGGGGACGTGAGGGCATGAGGGGACGTGAGAGCATGAGGGGACGTGAGGGACACGTGAACATGAGGGCATGAGGGGACGTGAGGGCATGAGGAACATGAGGGAATGAGGAACATGAGGGTACATGAGGGCATGAGGTGACATGACAACATGAGAGAACATGACACCGTTGTCATCTCATTCATTTTACAGAAGCGACATGAAATGTTATACATGAAATAATTTGAACTACCGTAATGTCAAGTATTTGATGAGGCGATATCATATCTGATAATTCATCAGATATGATGTCATCAGAATTATGATAATAATTATCTTATCTGATAATTCACTCAGATAATTTCTTCACAGAACCATTGAGAGGACCAACTGATCGCTCACCGGAGTGGTGGTAAGCGACGCCATAAGGCAACGTCTGCCGCAGCACCGGACACACGCTGCCTCCTCCCTCCTTAGCTACGGCCAGGAACAGTCCTTCTTTGGCACTCCTGAACACAAAAATTGACTTAAGCGAAAATTTCATTATATTATTTGATATATTACTAAAGTTACATGCCTAGTGATGTATTACTAAAGTTACATGCCTAAATGCAATGGTCTCATTAATTTATCTTCATCAGATATGGCACTGAAAAAAGGAGAAATGTGATGCAGAAGGACAGAATTAGAATTCGCACTCGGGAATTGACTGATCTCTGGAGTGTTCCATAGTTAAGTTGGGAAATTAAACTTAGATAAGCTCGGATAAAAACGAGAAATTTATATAATAGGTTAACTGTCACAGCCTTTTGAGCTTACAAAGTCAAAAGATTCAGACTTCAGGCAACGTTCATCTGAATAAAATCTGTTATGTTATAAGAAGCTGCCTGTTGAGCAGGGTTGGCGATTTTTTTGCTTTTTTTTTAAATCAAAAAAATCAAAAATCAATGATTTTTTTTATTTATTCCAGGGTTGGCGATTTTTTTTTATTTTTTTTTAAATCAAAAATCAATGATTTTTTTGATTTTTCATGATTTTTTTTATTTATTTGATTTTTTTGATTTTTTAATTTTTTTGTCATTTTGAAGTGGTATTTTTTATGTTGCAATTAGCCTAACTAACAATAACAGTATATGGATCATAATGGATGGCTAAAAAGGGCACTTATTGCCTTCAATAATGGCCAACAGGCCAAGGTAGTGTTTACCACTTAGGGATTTTTGGGTAAACAATTATTGGTAAGTCTAGTCATTAGCTTTGTAAAGTTTGTATGGAGCAAGGTAATGAGCTAAATATTGACCATTTAACTGGCTTCAATATACAAAAACACTTCAGGAATGCAGATCTTCTAAACACTGAAGAGTCACATAACAGATAGGTTGCTGATAGCACAGTGCACAGCACTATCAATAGATCTACCAGTTTTATGTCCTATAAATCTACCAGACTCTACCCTCTATATACACTGACCAGTAGTGACTGAGTGACAGACTGCACTGTTCCCATTTAACTCAGACCAATAAACCAATACTAAACATAAACTGAACGATAACCAAACAAACCTCATACGACTTGAAACGAGACTTAAGTTATGAGAAAAGCTAACACTGTTTGAAATAAACATGTGCACAAATCAAATATTTTATATCCATTCACTGCATTTAATTATTTTTATAAATAGTCTTATAATTGTAATTGTTTTGTTTCTAGTTTTAAATTCACATATTTAAAGATTGAAATTAAATATTTCAATTAGAATACTCGTATTAGGGTGGGAAATCTTTTTAATTGCCTAAAAGGTCAGTACAATCTCAACCTCTCAATATACAGGGTGGGGCAGAGCCAATTTGCGCAGTTTTGAGGTAAAATAAAAGAGTAATGGAGGTACATAAAGAAGAAAGTTTATTATCCTAGAGGTTAGCATAACATACCATTTAGAAAACTTATGTTTTGAAAACAATATCTGGAAGATGAGGGCCGTTAGCTGCAACACAATGTTGGAGTCGTTCTCAAAGGAGGGAGTAACCCTAACAGTGAATTCCAATTGCTATGCTGCAATGTTGCAAAATTTCTTGCAGCCCATGATGGAAAACATTGTTGAAAATGAAGCATTGGGAAACGTGTGGTTTCAGCAGGATGGGGCTACATCTCACACATTCCGAATGTCACTCAAAGTTTTGAAATGCATGTTCCCAGACTCTGAGGGGAAATGTAGTACAGGTCACCTGTTGAGCTTGCAAACCTAAAAAATAGCACTACGAGTGCGTTTATTTTGTAATGACGTCAATAGGACATGAGGCTTCGATGTTATAGAGACGATCCGTTGAGCTTGCAGAGCTAAAAAATTCGTACTTTGGGTGCGTTTATTTTGTAATGACGTCAAAAGAACTTAAGGCTTTAGAGACGACCTGTTGAGCTTGCAAAACTAAAAAAATAGCACTTCGAGTGCGTTTATATTGTAATGACGTCAATAGGACATGAGGCTTTAATGTTATAGAGACGACCTGTTGAGCTTGGTAAGGGCGTGAGGCAGGAGGGTACAGAGGAGTTTAGCAAGGCTCTCGCAGTTGCGTCGCGTGGGGCAGAAGACGAGCACAGCGTGGTCAGGGATCACTTCTCGCACCAGGCCTGCGATGCAGTCCTGGTCACGCGCCCGCTCCGATGAACTGTACTGAAACAGCAACCACAATTACATATACAAATATTTTATAAGTATTTACAACCTATTCATAAGATAAAAAACTATTTCTATGAATATAAATAGTGAATAAGTTAATGGAATAATACTATGAGTTATTAGTCCTGGTCACGCGCGTGCTCTGCTGAACTGTACTGCAGCAGCAACAACAATTACATATACAAATAATTTTATAAATATTTACAACCTGTGCATAAGATTAAAAATTATTTCTATGAATATAAAGTGTATAAGTTTATGGAATAATACCTACTAAGAGTTATTAGTCATGGTACAGTACCGTGCACACTCCACTGAACTATACGGAAGGAGGCACCACAATTACGTATATATATTTATGAATATATTTTATAAATATTTACAACCTATGCATAAAATAAAAAACTATTTTAATAAGTATAAATAGTGTATAAGTTAATGGAATGATACTAGGAGACTAGAGTTATTAGTCATGGTCCCGTGCACACTGCACTGAACTGTACTGAAGCAGGCACCACAATTACATACACATAGCATGTTTAAAAATTAACACAAACCAGTGTAAATAAAGAAAACTGATTCCATGAACACAAATTGAACATATTTACAAAATTAAACTCAATTAAATGAAAAAACATCCAAATCAAAACAAGGTAAAATTATTCGTTCTACTCCGGAAATTATGACAACACGTCATTGTATAGAACCACGTTATCATTCAGAAAATTAGTTTCTAAAGAATAATAACTAATAAGGCCAAATTGACTGTTTTCAATGAGCTGACTTAACAATACCATTGAACGTATGGCCAGTCTAACAATATTTGAGAACTTGTTAAATTTAAAAGATTGTAGTTATAAATTCAAAGTCTGACTAAATGTATATATAAGGTTATGGTGCGAATACTTTCATGAACATTAATAACAAATAAATACATTTGATTTATTGGCAACGTAAGTCACCATCCCGGTGCCGCAGCGTTCCTTTGCAGAAATGAAGTTGAATGAAATTAAATTATTTCGAATGAATTTTTTTCAAATAAAGCACAAATGAAATGAAATTATTCTTCAAGCAAATTATAATAAATTAGTTAATCATCCTGAATTGCTCTGAAAAGCAACAAAATAACTTATGATGAAATAACGGAAACAAAAGGCAAGGCAAGAATAAACTCACTCCATAGTCAACAGTTCTGTGGTTGAAGAGAAGTTCTTCATCAGTGAGAGCAGCAGGGTTGATCTCAGATATCGTGTCGTTTAGCTGTGGAGGGAGAAAACTCAACAGATTTTCCAACATAAAACTTTCTTAGGAATCAATTAGTAACACACGAAACATATGATAACAAAGAAATTGTTCATAATTTCCTTTTTGATGAAAAAAATTTATTTGCGATGAGGAAAATATCAATCGTATAATGATAAGTTTGATTTTACCAGACATTCCAGGATACAATGGGGCGGTAATACACTTAAAAATTCACATAAAATACACATTTGTACTCCTAATGGGCGCTATTCCATCAAAAGAAATATGAACAAATAAACATCATAAGCAATTCCGTATAAGTTTGGAAAAATCAGTAATTAGACTAAACAATTCAACATTCATTGTAACTACAATTAAAACGTTTGCTGCCACTTCCCAGCATTCTGTTATTATTCAGCATTTTATATCTATTATTACTCAAGCTCAAAAAAATAACTAAAACGCTATTGATTAATGTAAAAAATGTCCATAATTTGTAAAACGTATTAACCCTTCAGCAACCAGCTATTTTGCGAGTGCAAAATACTACATTGCATCAATACCACATTGCTGAAAATTTTCATTGAAAAAAATCTGACATGTGGAAAAAACTTCCACCTGAAAATAAAGCTATATATTTGTCCAATTGAACGAATGAACTTTGAATACAAACCAAAAACGCCCTCATGAAAGGCGACAGATATGTACAGCTAGACACTAAAGGGTTAAGGGTAACATTAATAATGAAAAAAAACTGTATTTTCATCTGCATAGGTGGCCAGACTCGGATTAATCCGTTCAAAATCATTATAGGCGCCAGGTTCAATGAACTGAAATGAGCCTTAAATCATTAGTACTTACCAACAGCAAAAAGTTAAATCAAATAAGATGTAAGTTATTTACATTACTGCCTTAACAACTGCGAGAAGTTAAATCAAATGAGATGTAAGTTAAATTATTACTGCCTCAACAACTGCGAGAAGTTAAATCAAATGAGATGTTAGTTAGATCTTTACTGCCTTAACAACTGAGTAAAATTAAATTAATTATGATTTTTTTTAATATGTAGTACCTTAACAAACTGCCTGAGTTTGACAGGCCTGAAGTTGCCGGTGTAGAGCTCAGCTCCCAGGAACTGGCCGAGCTGATCAAGGTTGCTCAGCGTCGCGCTCATGGCCACGATCTGGATGTGGTCTGCAAATAACATGTTTGTACAGCGAGGGACATAATACCAAGCATTTGAGACGTTTCTATTCTCTAATTCAATACATTTTAGTTCGGTAAGTCAAGGAAAAAGCAGCTATATCAATTTTCTGAGGAAAAGCTGCATAAATAAAGAAGATGCTATAACAAGAGATGTTTTTGAAATTTGCAACTTACGAGGATGGATCGATCACGAATACCGGAACTCCCATTACTACCTTCACTGTCCCAATTCATAACTAAACATGAATGTCAGGCTGTCTACCGAAACTCCCTTACTTGTGTTAGCACTTACTGCGTCACTTCCGTGACGTCACTATAGCATGCCTATATAAGCTCTTCGAGCAGACCTTCAGTCAGTCTTAGGCAGCAATAACATGTTTGTACAGCGAGGGACATAATACCAAACATTTGAGACGTTTCTATTCTCTAATTCAATACATTTTACTTCGGTAAATCAAGGAAAAACAGCTATATCAATTACTGGAGAAAAAGCATCATCGATAAAGAAGATGTAGAAAGTTTTTGAACTTTGCAACTTACGAAGATGGGTCGATCACGAATAGTTGAACTACCATTACTAGGTACCTTTCACAGTCTCAATACGTAACTAAACACAAACATAATTAGTAAACTATTCATTTCTCAAAAACCCAAACATTCTCGCATGATTACATACCAGCGCAGTGCCTGATCTTGGTGATGATGCTCTCAAGGAGCGCCCCATCAACTTACCAGAATGGATCGATCACGAATACCTAAACTACCATTACTACATTACTACCCTTCACAGTCCCAATTCGTAACTAAACACAAATATAGTAAGCACCCTAGTCGTTTCCCCAAAACCCAAGCATGCTCGCATGATTACATACCAGCGCAGTGCCTGATCTTGGTGATGATGCTCTCAAGGAGCGCCCCACGACCACCAGCCTCCCCCAACATGTGTGCCTCGTCCACCACCAGCAGCCCCACCTCCCCAGTGCGCCCTTCTTCAAGGAAGCTGTTGATCAGGCCGTTCGCTTTCTCCGTCGTCGCGATGAAGGCTACGCTCCTGCAGGAACAAGTACTAATGAACGAACTGTTGCTAATGAAGGAACTGGTGAGCTGTGCACTGCTAGTGATATATAACAACTGGGACTGTGGTCAAGTGGTGAAGGGTTGTAGATAACAACATGAGCTGGATTTTTGCATTAAATTTTTTCCATTGAAAATACTCAGTTCTTCACAATAATTCCTTTATTTAAGAACAAGTGATACTATGTTATACTCTGTGATCAAATAAAATAAAGACTAATATAATACGCAAGATATACTTGCGGGTCCTTTTCTTCGGAGGGAAGCTGCCTCTGCTGCCAGCATATTCCTCCAGGAGGAAATCAAGGGCAACTGCCAGAGGAGCTAAACCTCGAACCTGTTTCAAGGAAGGATAATGAAATTCATTAAATATATATATAATATACAAATATTTTATGCGAGAATATATATATGCTAGCAGCCTAAGATGGCATTGAGTTAAGATAGTTCATCTCCAGCATTTGAGAATAGACTTATACTGCAATTTTATTAAAGTAGTCAAGGAGGCCTTCAAAACTTGAAATGCTAAACCTGAAGTCTAATCAGAGATCAATGCTAATATGGGTAAAAACAATGTAAATAATTAACCTAACTTTACCATGAGAATTAAAAACAGGAAATTAATTGTAGTTATAGGAAATGGGATAAGGAGAAATGAAACAAGGTAAAACTACAACATAGATAACAGGATTAGGAGGAATAGCATCAGAGAAAATTGGAATTAATGGAAAATGAATTAGGAAGAAAAGCATTTTTCAATATTCTGGAATTATTATCCACTAGCAGCAATTTGATCAATAAAATCATTACTAACAATAATAAAATGGTGATAGTCCATCAGAATGAGAGTTCCATGCTTGGTCAATTAGAAATTAGAAAAATTAAAAAAAAATTTGTTCAGAATACCTAATTACAATCTACAAAAGAGCTTCAAGACCACAGCCTGTGGAAATTACACATTTTTCAGTCAATGCTTACACAAAAGGCATATTTGATCAATTATCACAGAAATGCATTAGTTAAATTATCAGACCTTTTCCTGCACAATAGCAACATAAGGCAGCAGGAAGATGGCATGTTTTTTGCGGACAAGCAGCGCCCGCAACATGAGCATTTCAGCAACCAAAGTCTTGCCTCCACTCGTTGGCAGGGAGACGAGCAAATTATTGCCACGCAGGCCCTTATTGATGCACTCAGACTGCCAATCTGCAAGCATACATGGTATACAATTTGATGGCCACACACATTGTCAATAATTTTGTTTTAATCACTGAATAGGCTAATTTAAATTAAATTGCTAATTTAGGATTTTAACATTTATGGCACCCATTATATTAATTATCAATAAAAAATGGAGCAGCATTTATTATATTAATTCCATTCAATTTTTTTTTCAGGCATAAAAATGAAAAGACTGTAAAATGTTATATATGGTAAGCAATATAAGATGTTGATCTTGATACAATATCATATGGCATTTTGCATGATTTACAGCAGAAGCATTGCAAAGTGCTGCATATAGGGATAGACAACTAATCTAGTATTATAAATTAAATGTAAGCCCACCATAGAGCCCATTGATGCCCCTGTGCTTGTGTAAAAGTTCCAGCACAGTAGATGGGAGCCCAAAGAAAGGGCCGAGCTCGTGACCAACGGCAGCTCCAGCAACAGCTGCCTCCTTTGCCTGCAGGACTGCAGCAGACACAGCACTTGTGCGCAGCACGGTGCTGGTGTTCAAGGTGGTTGAGAGCTGAGTGTTGCACCCACTACCTATTTGAAATGAACCAAAAATATACATACAACACATCTCCAAAAATATGGGGTGTATGACACAAAAATGTATCTTTATTCCAGAATAAAGTAGGTACCTATACAATTAAATGACAGGAATCATGAGTAAACATTGTTGTCTTTAGTATAAAGTTTACTTTACTCAGCCTGCATCTGGTACAACATACCTGCAGTTCTTTGGGTGCTCGTGCAAACTGCACCATGCATTCTCTGTAGTAGATTCTGAGATTCCAGAGTGCTGCTGTCACTGCCAATGGTACTGGCCATAGATAAATTGCCTCCATCTGGTGACTTGACAAGTGAGCAATTGTTCCCCTTGGGAGAAGAATTTTTATTGTTTGTTTGTGCAGGAGGTGAACAAATTGACGTTTCATGTTGCCTTTTGTAGCAAGTTCTTTGCTGTTGAGCAATTCCTTTCCCTGATGAAGACTTGTCTTCTCCTATGTGTGAAGTAGTCTTGCTTGGAGGCAAACCACAATTATAAATAATGTTTTTCTCAATGTTAGTTCCTTCATTTCCTTTTATATTGTATTGAACATCATTGTTATTGATCAGTTTTGTGCTACAAGGTTCAGGATTACTTGCCAACACTTCCCTCTTTACAGTTGGCAGACCACTCATGGTCTCTCTAGCGCTTAGATTACTATTTTTTCCTGCAGTATTTAATGATGGCACTTTCAGATCACTCTTCTCTGTCACAAGATTCTCAACAATAAGTTTCTCATCAATTTCGTCCCAATCAGCTTCAGCAAATATGTCAGGGGAAAAACTTCTATCACTTTTTTGGTATAGTTTTTCTGATTTAATTTCATCATCTAAGTTAAAAGATTCGTCAAATGCTTGGATCAAATCTGGGTCTTGTAAAAGAGCAGACATATATTCCTCTGGTGTTAAATGGCACTGATCATTACTCAAATTCAATTCAGCACATTCAGTTCCTGGTTTTCGTAGCACTTCAGAAGATTTTTCAATATATACATCCTTTTTTAGAGTAGAGATGATTACATTTTCATTTTTAACACTTATTCCACTTGTAGCATTGGTAAATTGATCTGATAATCTCATTGGGTTTTTAACATTACTATCTGAACAATTATTACTTGGCACAAAAGGTTTTCTCCTAACTTTAATTTGAAATCGATCAGGAGACGTGTAAGTTTCATTAATCATAAGAGTATTTTCCTCAATGCCAGTTGACATGTTGATGAAAGGTGCAGCCAATTTACTTTCAGAGCATTTTTGTCCATCCACACATTTTATTGATTCTGATCTTTCATCAAGTGATATTTTAAATGAATTAGGGTTTATAATGTTTTCTTCATTACTAATGCCACTAGAGATATTTTGCTCTAAAGGTCCCATGATATGGTCAATATCAGACAACATCAAAGAGTCATCTAAAGCAGAGCACAATGAAGGATTTTTGTTGCATGCACTTCTTTTGGTAGCAGGAAATTTATCAACATTTGGTGTAAAAGAACGTTTTTGCTTTTTTCTTCTCTGAGGCGTAGAATGGATTCTTCCAGTTGATTTAACATCTGATTTTAATAATGTTTGATCCATCCTTGATCCTGATGCAATGTTTCCCAGAGGGGTTTCAAGAGAATTCAATATTGTAATCTTGTTGCATGTTGAAATGCATCTGGTGCAAATTGAATTTTGAACTCCTTTGTCAGTAGGAGCTTGGAAATTTTTCAATTGAGAAGTGATTTTGTCATCAGAACTATGTTCTGAACTTTCTACTTCATATATTTTCTGGTTGTAGGGACACTTTATTCCAAAAGCATAAGATGACCCAGAAGGTGAGTCTAAGAGTTGTTTGCGCTTGTGATGACGGCCTCTGGCTGAGCGAAAGACTGGTGAAGTAGAACCATTCCTCATTCTTCTTCACTTGTACACAGTACTGGTGGTTACTTGCACATAAAAATTTCTGAAGCTTTTTTCACAGAGTCAAATGACTGTGTTTAGCATCTATGATAGCTTGAATAATCATTACCCTTCAACAATCAACTGAGAAGAAGGGAAGAATGGCAAATAGAGTAATCAGTGGAACAATAAATTCAAACCATGGATGCAAATAGCTAGTAAAAAATGTATCCCATCAGAAAGCACACATAAAACTATCAAAATTCAACATTCTATCCATGATACTAGGAAAAATATGTCATTGTATAGGCATTTATTAACTTTGAATATCAAAGGTGTAATTTAAGTAGTACCAGTACAAGTATTATTAATTTATTAAGGGTATTATTATTTATCATTATCATTATTTATCATTAACCTATAATTTTCCCACAATTTTCTCATCATTTTCCCACCTTTTTCCATTATTTTAGCATCACTTTCCCATCCTTTTCCTATCTTCTCTTTTCTTTTTTCAATCATTTTTCTTTGTCATTTTATAATCATATTTAGATCATTCTCACATTATTTACCCATCATTTACCTATCATATATGGTATACCTAATTAATAAATCAATGAACCCACCTGAATCATTCCTTCATTCATCGTTATTTAATCATTATTCATTCATTCACCATTCATCTGTCATTTATTTATTAAATTGGAATTTATTCTGTTCAATTCAGCCTTTTGATGAATTTTTACCATTCATATCTATCAGCCACTCCCATTTCCTTCACCCACCTGCAGTCAAAGTCTCAACCAAAATGTTTTATTTTTGTTAGAATAGACTACAACTAGAGCTTTCTACTGGTGCTAAAATCTTTTAAATTGGCTCATAGGAAACCTAGTAATGATAGTTTAGAAAAGTGCCAAATAATAAGCCATTTTGGAGACATACGGTACTGTAATTAAAAAATATTACCACTCATTACCCAGTGTAGTGAGTGACAGAGAGCTCATTTTCTCATCCATCCATGGAGTCACTGACAGAAGTAAGGACAGACGGACGGATGGGCAGACATGACAAGCACAATAGCCCTTTTTTTCCATCCATAAATTAGAAAATGCGCTAACAAATGAAACAAATCATAACTCTCTTTTTATTTATATTCCTAAAGCAATTCTCCAAAAATATTTTTTCTTTTCAGCTGTATAATTTTCATTAAGATCATGAGGAAAATTTTTTTTACAGGTATGCCTTGCAGAGTTGCAGTGAGAGGTTCACTTCCATAGTTTTAATTTTTTCACTTTGTAACTGGTATATTCAATGGATATTCCTGGGAGAATGAGAAATTTGCAAATTGCATTTGTGAGTGGCTTGCACTTGTTGAAACTTGAATGCAAGATGCTATATATTAAATAGACTAATAGAGTTGACGTTTGGTAATTTTGGTAATAGAGTATTTAAAACTAAGTGAGCAGTTCCGAGTAAGAGTAAGGCGTGACCTCAGTATTTCAGGGAACTGAGGGAAGGCTTGCATTTGATTACAAACAAAACTTACGAATCAGAGAAGCAGTGAGTTGAGGAGTAAAGAAACCTATGAGTGCAGAGCTGGTTAGAAAAAATTAAACCATTAATGTGTTGTCTGTGAGGTTTGTTGCATATAAAGAATCCAATTTACACAGGCTAAAAGTCTAAAGGTATATCTCATTATTNTAACAAAAAACGCTCAAAACCGTCCCGAGTAGCCCCGGTTGACGGTATCACTACTATAACTATCGTTAAACTATGTCTATGAGACCTTACTCAGACCTACTGACCTAACCAGCAAGGCAGTTGGAATCTCTCATTGTGTTGATCTACGTAACCTAACTTCAGCTAAAAAAAAAAGTAAATACAAAAATTCTGCAATAATGATAACTTCAGCAGAGCAGACTGGCGACTGCTAACTGCCTGGACCCCAGGGTGCAGATGGTGGATGCAGTGTTGCCAATATATGGGTTTTTAAGCCCAAAGCGTCGCCAACCATTTTCAAGATGTGTCGCTAGGTAGTTTTCAATGAAAAGCCATTTACGCTGAGTAATCAAAAACTATTTACAAGCCACGAACTTATTTACAAGGTTGTATGCACACGTTATCCCAAATAACTAAATTTACCCTAATAACAGTCCAATTGTACAGCATCAGCAAGTGTCAACTGAACATGTGATAATGCAGTCTGACCGGTCTAGTGTGACCACAATTATGCAGCTGTAAACTTGTTTACATTTTTTTTGGTGGGAACTCATCGCAAGTGATTTCTGGACAAGCTTCACTGTATCCTGATCCATCCATCGTACCGGAAACCTTACTTTTTTTCTAAATAGTTGGCCAAAGACTGATAAATATATTAAATGCAAGAATTTCAATCTAAATGTGTCGGCAAGATCTTCTGAATACGTAAATTTTGCTACAGAAGCGTCGCCAAAGATCTTGCAATATTCATCCACTCTCTGCACAGTGGCCTGGACCTGCCATTGCCAGAACCACGATAAAACTGAAGAAAAAACTTAAAAAGGAAATTGTGTTATAATCAGTTTACAAAGAATCAAACTTGAAAAAATTATTAGGTACTATGAGCAAATGCAAATGCTTCAAAAAAACAAATTCGCCAGTTTTAGAGAGCTCAAATGTCACACATGCTTGGCGGCCAGCGCTTCTTGCTTACGCCGTAAAATATTTACCGTAAATGGCTAAATCAGTAAATGCATGCGACGGTGCGTGCTTTGTTCACTTGTTGAAGCCTTGAAGGCAGAAGGTGAAAAAATGACCTCAGTCCTCTTAGTCTCTTACNAGACTGTCTATGAGGGATGAGGCTATGAGCAAATGCAAATGCTTCAAAAAAACAAATTCGCCAGTTTTAGAGAGCTCAAATGTCACACATGCTTGGCGGCCAGCGCTTCTTGCTTACGCCGTAAAATATTTACCGTAAATGGCTAAATCAGTAAATGCATGCGACGGTGCGTGCTTTGTTCACTTGTTGAAGCCTTGAAGGCAGAAGGTGAAAAAATGACCTCAGTCCTCTTAGTCTCTTACTGTCCTCAGTCAGGCTCAGGCAAACTGTCACACCTGGACTGGGACTGAGTGGGACATGACAACAATTGCTGTCTTTCCAAATTTTTCACTTGCAGGATGCAGCCACAGACTAATTTTACTTTGCTTGTAGAGGGCGGCTGTTCTTTCAAGCTGTAAATGCAACTGACTTTCCACAGCACCTGCGGGCTGCTGCCTGCACCGTGCACGCCGGGGTGCGCAGCCAATAAAAATGAATGAGACACGAGTCCAAATTACCTACGCCTACGTTGTCCGGACTCGCGTAATTTTAAGAATTCGAAATTTCAAAAGAAAGGCAAAAGGCCGTGCAATTTGATAAGATTGATAAAATTTATACAATAAGCGAATTGAAAGTGATTTCTTAATATTTTTTTCCACACGTATACAATGACTCAGCATATAAACGTTCTTATAATATAACATCAGTTTTGTTTGTCGTAGATTTCGAAATTTTGTTATCTATTCCAAAGTTATCATGGACGGAAGACTTACAAGCAACAGATTTCATGCTTATGCATCACCAAAATGACCGCAAATATGTATGAGTGACAATAGACTCATGTGGCGCCTATCTATCATCACAAAGCGGGAGCTAAACTCTCGTAGAATAGAATAGAAGTGTCGGCACTGATGAAATAAGCCCATGGCCTGTTGCCGATTCTTGAATTTTTCGTGACTTGATTCACAAGGGATCCGGCCTTTGAAACGCGATCTTTCCATAACTGACGATTGATTGAGATAGCTGCTGAACTTAATGTGCTGCTGGTCCGTAATTTGCTAGGCATTTTAAGACTGAACATATGCTCCTGCATTGCTTCGTCTGGACTTATTGCCTGGTCCGTAATTTGCTAGGCATTTTAAGACTGAACATATGCTCCTGCATAGACTCGTCTAGTCTGTTCTTGAAGGCGTTCATACTCGGAGCGTCAACGATGCTATCAGGGAGGCTGTTCCACATGTCGGTGACTCGAAGCAAGAAGAAATGTGTCACATGGATGTGTTACAACGTAGTTTTTTAGTTTATAGCCGTGGCCCCTAGTGTTGGTTCTTGGTTCATGGGATGGAGATGGGTAGATGGCCGGAAAAGAATGGTGTGAGAAGGAAATGAGGCAAGCCAAAAAATGACGCTGCCTCCATTGGGGCTGTCTCGCGAAGAGAAGACGAAGAGGGTTTTAGGGAAAGAATAGGCAAAGAGATAGGCTAGTGAATATCCAGCCTTCAGAGGACTCGCAGATTTGGTGCAAGCCATGGTTGAAAAATACTTAGCGTGTGAAAGCGAATTCATGTAGGGAGTTGCATGTGGTTGTATTGAAACCTGAAATTAAGTCGCAAATCATTATAATCTTTGCTTATGGACCGCTTCTGTTTGTAAAAGAAGCCAGTTCAGTAGAAAATAGTGTTAAAGAAACATGGTGAGAAGGCGGACTAAATAAAAGGTGAAATGAAACTGTTTATATGATGATAGCAGATCATTTCGCAAATAATAATATGCGTTTAAAAATTACTTTTTTAAAGACAACACTTCTAAAGAATCCAGTGTCTCCGGTGTTACACATGTACAATGAATTTCTAATTTCACTCTATAACATAACATAACATTGCGATGTCGGCGCTGAAGTGTAGGCCTGATGTGGCCTGTTGCCGATTCTTTTCCTTTTCGTGCCTTGTTCACAGATCTAAAATGGTGTCATTTGACCGGATCTTTTCATGACTGACGATAGTTTGAAATAGCTACTAGACTTCCACCGGGTTCGATATGGTGCTAGGCATTTCAAGTCTGAACATATATTTTTCCTTTGCTTTATCTAGTCTGTTCTTGAACGCGTTTATACTTAAAGCGCCAACGATGTCATCGGGGAGGCTGTTCCACATGTCGGTGATTCGAAGCGAAAAGAAATGTTGTCGCGTGGAGAAGTTGCAGCGCAGTTTTTTTAGTTTATAGCTGTTATAGCTTTAATCTTTCTTCATATGACTTGATCTTCAAGCCTGGAATTATCCTTGTTTCACGTCTTTGAACATTTTCTATTAAATTTTTGTCCTTTTCAAATCTCGGTGACCACA